TAGGGAACAAGATGATTGATTACAAAGTATAATTACAAAGTATAATCTCATGTTTGAGAGATCACCCAGGTGTGACCTGTTCTTCTTTAAAGGAAAAACCACAGAATGACTTAGAAAGACACCAGACTGTCTGTTGGTCAGGTGGATCCAGACAGGACCGTTCATCTGGAACCATTTTGTAAGGAGTAAGGTTTTTATGCCCGCCGCCTGGTCTTGTCCCACCCACTGCACCAGCCCCAAATAACACACACAGACTCTGTATTTGATACAATGCTATTGGCCTGGTACTAGTGTCTTAACAGATAGTTCTGTCTTAAGTATTAACCTGTTTCTGATGATCTATGTATTTTCACATGGTCTTCTCTTACCAGGGAGCCGGCATTCTGCTTTCCCCAGACTCTCCATCTTGACTCCTTCTTACTACTTCTTCTTTCCTCCTTGTCTCCTAGTCCCTCCTATCTTCCTTTCCTATTGGCCAACAGTGCTTTATTCCTTAACCAGTATGAGAAACATATACAGAATGACATCTCCCATCACCATTTGTTCAAGGGTTGGGGCCTATTTCCTTAATGTGGGACACACCCTTGGAGAAACTTCAATTTATTTAACAAAGTTTTGAGGATTCAGTTACTAGCCCTACTTAACAGGATCAGCCTAGCATTAAACCAGTAGTCCCATCACCATAGTAACCTTTCTTGTCCTCATAATTCCTGACCTTTCCACCCATCATTCTTTGTGATTTTCTATATTCTGCCAGCAAGAATTAATCTCCTGCCCCTCTCGCACATTCTTGCTCTACAAATTAAAGTCTTTCATTTCTTTCAGTATGGTAGTGGAGCTAGTGGTTATGTACTAAGCTGATCTTGCTTAATAGGGCTAGTTACTAAATCATCAAGTCTTTATGATATAACTGAAGGCTCTAAATGTACATCCAAGTGAAACAGCCAGAGTTTCACCAAGGTTCATTCCATAACTGCACATAGACCCTGCCTCAATTCCCAACAGGCAGAGTTACAGAAGAAGGAGTAAAGAGAGAGAGATAAGCCAAATTGATGTCATGTAGAACACAAAGAGGTAACAGGTCTGGGCTTTCTCTGGTAAGTCAGGACAATGTGGAAATACATAGGTTAATAGAAATGGGTTAATAAATAAGACAGAGTTATTCAATAAGAGCCTTAGCCATCGTCCAACCGATTTATAAGCTATATAGTGTGCTCTGTTTATTTAGGGTGGAAAGGCAGTGCGGCCAGGCTTGAAATGAAAGTACAGCAACAAAATGGGGCCGTCAATGTGGGTTACAAAAAATTCCATGTAAAACCTTACAAAAACTTAAAATGGGTTTCAAAGAAAAGTATAGAGAACAGATACAACCACAGCTTCTTGGTAGCAGCATTTTCTCATGTGGGCTCTGTTTGCTAGAGACAAGCAGGAGATTTCTGCCTCCTTTAAGACATTTCCTGACTCAGCATAAGTGACAAAAACTGCACAACTCTCAAGAGGCTCTGAAAACGAACAATGGAATGGTATGTACAAGCAGCTGGAACCACCATGGACTATATCTCCAAGCTGCACAGCATGCTGCATGGCAGATTTAGCTTTTACTCATACAGACAAAAGAGGTATATGAGTTTAGTTGTTGAGTGCAGCTCCCAGTGCTGGCAGTAAATGTATCCCCACCATGTTGGAAAGTCAGCAGTTAAAACTTCCTCTATAATTTTTGCCTTGCTGTTGAGGACATAAAAGATCCATGGACAGAAAAAGGATAGAGATATACAGTAAAGACAGATTCAGATGAAGCAAAATCACTAAAAAGTTAAAGTGTGTTTACAAATATATTTAGGCTTTGGAGAGAAAAGAAAAAGGATAAAGGTGTTTAAAAAAAAATAGAGTAGCTGGTTATGGTTGCACAAGCCTTTAATGCCAGCACTCAGGAGGCAGAGGAAGTAGATCTCAGTGATTTCAAGGACAGCCTAGCCTACAGAGTGAATTTCAGGTCAAAGTAACCAGAGAAACCCTGACTCAAAAAAAAAAAAAAAAAAAAAAAAAAAAAAAAAAAAAAAAAAAAAAAAAAAAAAAGGAAAAAAAAAAAAGTAAAAGTAAAAGAAATAGATTGAAAAAAAAAAGCCATCTAATGCAAGTAAATATACAGAGAGTGTGTATACTGTATATTATTGTTCTGTCCTTGAATTGTTTGATTGCTGAGGAAAGAGCAATCCCTGCTAATATTCCTTTGATTATAAATGCTGCTGGTCTAAACCAGCCTATGTACTATAAAGTGCTTTGACTTCATATTTTAAGTGTAAGGACAGATTTACTTTGCTAAAGAAGTTTTGTTTTGTTTCAACTGAAAATGAAAAGCTGTGGATTCATTCCAGACTAATTTGTTTTTATCAAGCAAGAACCCCTGAAGCGGTGGCCCAGTGATCCAACATCCAAAACAGCTGAAAAGATGTGGCCTCAGACTACTACAGCTAGAATTTGGATAGATATCTGTGGTTTTTTTGTAGGATACCGTTGGGATTCACAGCACTCCAAACAGCAGAAAGCTGTTTGTAGAGAACAACACAAGCTTCCAAATATTGTTTATAAATGTTTGTTTTCATTTAAATGGGTTTGATTATAAGTGGTTAATGATCACAGCAATCTTTTTCTAAAGGAAAAGAAAAAGGAGTATAAGATAGAAATCAATACTTTGTATTGGAGTGGAATTTGTTTTACTGAGAAAAATAGAAGGTCAGTTTTGTGAAATGTACCTTTCTCCTCCTGTTTAGGTACTGTGTTTGTACAGCTCATTTAAAAAACGTAATGTATAATTAAATAAAGATTCTTGTCACCTACAATAGTCTAGATTTACAGTTATGTTAGATAAAGTTTTTTGGGATACACAGTATTACGAGTATGTTTTCCTACCTGCCTGGTCCCACAGCTGCGACAGCCACAATAACACACAGAGACACTGTATTAGATATAAAGTTGTTGGCCTGTTACTAGCATTTGTTATTGTCTAGCTCTATCTTAAATATTAACCCATTTCTATTAATCTAAGTATTTCCACGTGGTCTTATCTTACAGGAGAGAGGGACCTCTGCTCTCTTAGTCTTACATGTTGACTCTCCTCCTATTTCCTGAAACCTCATTGTCTCCATCTATCTTGCTTTCCTATTGGCCAACAAGGCTTTATTTATTAACCAGTAAGAAAAACATATTTACAGAATGACATCTCCCATCATCTCCTCTTTTCTGTCTCAAATAAAAAGAAGGGTTTTAACATTAATATAGCAAAATATATAACAAAGCAGTTATCAAATAAGAACCATAGTTAACAATATTCAGTCCATTAACATTTAGCAAGATTAAAGAAAATATTTCATCATCTCTCCTATCTAAAGTTATATAACTTATCTTTAATCCTAACTAAGGAAAACTGTAACCATAAATGTCTATCTTCAACTCCATCAAAACCCACAGAAGGATAATATATAAACTCTCAAACTGACAGAGATATCTCGCTACCTGGTCAGGCACCCAAAGTTCTTCTGTAATGTTTTATCATCAGCCTATAGTCCATAGTGTGTCTGGCAGACTCCTCAGCAAAGCAAGAAATTTTAAAATGTACCACCTGTGTTGGCAGTTTGTCAGTCACTATTCTCTTTATCCTTCAGACTGTCTGGCAGACTCTTCCATGAAGCAGGAACGCTGGAGCAATGCCCATCTTGTATCAGCAGTCCATGTTCTGTGAGCCATGCATGTCCAGTTTATACAGCATAAAGTAAAAAAGTCCAGATAAGAGTAGTATCTTGCCCAAATGTCTACTTTTGCCATATTGGCAGGAAACTCCGAAATGAATCCATCTCCCTTTCTTACACAGGTGGTGTTGCCAGGAGCAGTCGTGACTCGGTGTTTAGAAAAACCCTAAACCATTTTAAATTCCATAATCTGTAGATCTTTGAAATAAATCTCTGTATATCTAGAAGTCATAACTTAACTATATGTTTTGACTATTATAGGTAACTATCTAAAATCTGTACTAAATTATACATGTTTAAATGAGTTATATAAATACAGCACTACCTAAATAAATGGAGAAATATACATATCAAAAAGTTGACCTTACATTTGTATCAATTAATGAAAATCCATTCCAAAACAAAGTATATATATCTACACCACAATCCCCTTTTTATCTTTAAAATGATTGGTTGTGGTCATTAACCATTTATATACAACCAACAGCATTTAGATGAAAACAAACATATTTATAGACAATATTTGGGAATGTGGATGTCGTTCTTTCCAAACTGCTTCCTGTGGGTAGGGAGCAACGTAATGGTGATCTTAAGAAGATGCAGAAATCCTGGCTGTAGTGGTCTTCAAGGCTGCCTTCTTACAGCTGTTTTGAATTTTGGGTCATCTGGGACGCTGATTCAGGGGGTCTGGCTTGATCAAACCATGTTAGTCAGGAAGGAATCCAGAGCATTTTATTTTCTGTGGAACAAAAATAGAAATGCTTTCCCTCTGTAACCTGTCTTTATACTTAAATTTGGAAGTCAAAGCATTTTTTAAATGTATGAATTGGATTAATTTAGCAGCATTGATAATAAAGCGTATTGTAACAGTTGTTCCTGTTTAAATTGAGCAATTTAAAGACAACAAAATAGCATATAATAGCCACATTCTCTGTGCATTTTCCATTTTTACTTGGCTTTTTTATTACTCTATTTCTTGGGGCCAACAACTATACTGAATCCCAGTATCCCAGTCACTGGGCAGAAAGCAAAGCAGTACAGCAATTAGGTAGAATATGCTAGAATGCAGTGCTCCCCCTTACCCAAGTTGCTCTTCAACTAATTTAGAGAAGTATCAAAGGCCTCACCCCCATGCTATATTTCCCCAGATCCTCTGTGAATGCTATACATGTCCCACAGTCTACCAGGTGTCCTAAGGTAACAATGCCGGCTGCTCATGCTGGAATATACCTGTAGGTCACTGATGAGAGGAGCCTAAGATTGATTCAGGCGATTGTGAGGGGCCTCCAATGAAGAGCAGTGAGCAGAAGCCAGGGAGCTGTATGCTTGAGCCATCAAATGGGGGTATGAGCCCACCATTGTCTTCCAGCCTGAGGTCTCAGAGACCTCTGAAGCATGAGCTGTAATGAAATCCAGTGCCTGCGTTCTCAGCTGCCCTGCACTGTGCAAGTCAGCCAGGATGAGAGTGTGGGCAGCATTCTCCACAGAGAGGTCCCTGCAGAGGGCATCCTCGCACATGACCTTCAAACGCTCCAGGCCATATTTGTCAGCAGCTGGCAACACAGTATCTGCCATGTTGTGGAGGTCTGGTGCCTTTCCGGTGTAAATGAAGCCCATCATTGCCTTGAAGACATGTGGCTCCAGATCATGGATCTCAACGCGGTTTGTTCTGCTTTCCTCCATGTCATGTTGAAACAGAGCTCTGAAAACTGGAGAGTGAGCAGCTAAGATGGCCTTGTGAGCCCGGAACTCCTGGCCAGCTACCACCAGGCAGCAGTCTGCGAAGAGGGAATTCTCCCACAGCTCTCCTAGCTCATCTGCCATCGTGCACCTTGGAACCTGGATCTTTGGCGTTGGGCTCTCCTCAGAGATGTGGAAGGAGTCTTGGACCACAGTCACCTGGCATTGGAGGCTCAGCTCATTCTGTTCAAGGAGCCAAGGCTCCCAGGACAGAAGGAAATCTCGATGGATGAACTTTTTGAATCCCCAGTGTTGGTTTTGCAGAAACCTGAAGCATGCTGGGCTCTTCATGACTTGGGATTTCTCTCCTTCCGCACTGATGATCCAGAACTGGAAGCTTGCCCATACTGGGCTCTTTGGGTGGCTGAGCAACCCTAAGTAAACTGACAAATAATCTTTGCTTTCTTCATCGACCCCATTTGGGTGTACTTTCAAACACCATTTATGTGTGTCATTGGATCCTGATGAGAAAGTGGGACTTCTAATGTGTGTCCCCTGCTTTCGCTCCAAGCAAAAACGGAAGTTGCTAATGGTCCACTTGAAGGAGAATTTCTGCATGTTGATTGATGTGTAGCTCCAGCTTGCTGTTGTCAATCCCCCTGACATATCTGCTTATGACAGCTTAAGTGTTAACCTCGACCAAAAATGAAGAGCTAGGATTTATTTCTTCTTCAACCTGGAGGACAAAATCAGATATAATTTTAAAATTTTAGTTTCTATTTTCCTCTCTGTTTCCTAGTCTATAGGTCTGAAATCTTGGGTATTTCTGAAGTATTCTTTGCAGATTGTAATGTACTTGTCAGAGAAGGGAGTCTAGGCTGCTGGGGACTGCTACATCACTCCATGTATCAAATTTAATCTGAGGGCACTAGGTCAATTTTGGCATTTATATACAACTTTTGAAAAAAATTATAACATGTCTTATACTTTTATTAAAAATGTGTAGTACTAGGGTTCTCTAGAGTAACAGAATACATGCAATGAATCCTTCTATATGTGAAAAAATGGGATTCATTAGAATGACCTAGTCCTGGGGTCAGGCTAATAACATAATGGCTGGATGTCAAGGAAAAGACCAAAAATCCAGTACTTACTCAGTCTAGGAAATCAGATGTGTCTGTTGGCAGGTCTTCAGTAAATTCTAGAAGTGAGAATAAGTATTCTCTAATGACAGTGAAGCAATGGACTTCCTACAGGGTGAGGTGAAGCTGTCACCTAGTAATAGCTTACTTCCTTCATGGCCTTTTATACTCTGACTCTGGAGGGTGTGGCCCAATTAAAGGTGTGTCTTCTCAGCTCAAGTTCTGGATTAAAGGTGTGTGTCTAAAGGCATCAAGATCAGGACTATATAATTGTGGGGTTTTTTTTTTAATTTTGTGGGAGGCATAAAAATGGCTTGGTTCATCTTGGCTTAAGGTCAAAGTGTTCAAAACTATCTTTACTCTTCCAAAATTAAAGCCAACAGACTATAAATTTTAAGATGTGGCTACTATAGGATGTTTTGTCTTTGGCAAGGAAGTCTAATCTAGATAACAGGAGACTTGGTCTGACAAGTGATTACTCCTAACCCTTATGGCCAGATAAAGAGAGATTTAGTGTATGACGTGGTTACCAAATGTTTGGAGAATTAGAAAAGAAAGTCTGTTTCTTCCTTGTATATTGATAAAGAAGTCTTGTGCTTTCTATCCACTTTTTGTTGGAGTATTATGGATGTTGAAAAATAACCTTGGGACATTCATTATTCACTGGTTTCATCTATCTCTACTCTGCCTCTCTGTCAATTCCTTAGTTTCTTTACCTGCCATTTCCCAGTCCACACTTCCACTCTCAGGTGCAACCATAACTTAATACAGATGACCCCACCAAGTGAGGCTACCACAAATGGTTAATACAATCTTTGGACATCCAAAGTTAATATTGCAAATTGCTCTATCTACTTCAACTTAAGCCAAAATTTTCTCACAATTGTGCCTTCCTTTTTGACTTAGGTTAGTTCTAGATGTAGTTAAGTTGGGAATCAAGAATAACATCACAAGTGTATTTCACTTACTGTGGTTAATCTTCCATAAAAGAAGGCCTAGGGTCCATACTAACACAGCTGTTATTTACTCTTCTTCAGGTGTTACATTAATTCCTAATATAAAAGTGATTTGGGAAGAGGAGTTTTTCCTTACCTCATCATGGGTCTCTGTTCATAACATAGAGGTCTGGGTGGAAGAATTCATGTATACTGGGATTTCTTACCCAAGCACCATAATCTTTATAACCTCCATAGTGGAATTGTATTCCACTGTCTTCTTGGTTATATCGATCATTCAACCCTCCTAATACTGTTTTTCTCATAACTATCCTGGTGGCATAAGGAAGCCCTAAGTTGCCTGGGAGAAGCCTGAGCTTCCAGTTCACTGGAATATTTTTGTGGCCCCCATCAGGACTAATACATCCACAGCATCATCACCGTGGAACAAAAATGTCTAGGCCAGTAGATCTTCAGGTCATGAGAAGAAGAAACAAAATTTTCCCCAGGGAACCACAAGGTTTAGTAGTGAGCGCAACAATTCCCTTTTCTAAAACCTAGTACCTGGAACCATGAGTCTTGGCTAAGGAGAAATATAATCATATATTTCCCGGTGATACAAAGCACATACTGGCTCTTGTAAAATCCTGCCCCAGCATTCCTGACTGGTAATACCTCATTGGCTCTGTAAATGTGTCTTCAAAGGGCCATTCCATCTTTCTATCACACTAGCTGATTTAGGAAGTTTGTGAACATGGAAGAAAAACCTTTAATCCAGATCTGAGTCTGGGAGACACTCCCTAAATTGGGACACACCTTCTGGTGGAAGCAAGGAAAACAACATGGAAGAAGAAGCTGTTGCACTCTGCCTGCTTGCACTCACTTTGTAGCAAGTCCATCCCAGCACTGACCTTAGAGAATATTCTTTGAATTCCAGCATCTACTGAAAGCCAGCTGACAATCTCAACATTCTGGACTGAGTAAGTACTGGATTCTTGGACTTCCCCTTCACACCTAGCCACAGTGGGATTAGCAGGACAGTAGCCGTAATTTATTTTAATGCGTCCCCTTTCTTTATGTATGGATTTATTCTATATGTTCCATTACTCCAGAGGACTCTTGTTGAACATTTTTTTTTCTTGTATGTGTACAAAATGTTCCAAACTATTCAAAAGTTGTGCATACTTCTCAAAACTAGGTATCTATTGATGTGGATTCAGTCTAGAAAATGGAATGATCTAATAGTCCCGAGTAGTTTTGACTGTCTTCTGTGAAACTAATATTGAAATCCGCATTGCACATTCCAGAGATAACCAAGTTGCAGCCTCAGAGAAGTGGTATCTATTAGGAAACATAACCTAATACACCAAAATCATGCCTATTATTATGCCCCAAGGGTAAAGAAAGATAAATCCCATGTCTTTGCTTTGGATCCAGTTTAAACTTCAAACAACCACTAGCAGAAATGTCAGGTGAGAGTATGGCCAAGGGCTGGAACTTCCCACAAATCAACATATGTAACGAGTACTGTTTTTCTGCCTGCCGCCGCCCGGTCTTGTCCTGCTGCCGTGCCAGCCCCAAATAATACACAGAGACTCTGTATTAGATATTATACTGTTGGCCAGTTACTACTTTCTTATTGGCTAGCTCTGCCTTAATTATTAACCCATTTCTGCTGATCTATGTATTTTCACATGGCCTTCTCTTACCGGGGAGGCGGCTGGTGTCCAGCTCTCTCCAGACTCTCCATCTTGACTCCTCCTTACTACTTCCTATTTCCTCCTTGTCTCCTAGTCCCTCCTATCTTCCTTTCCTATTGGCCAACAGTGCTTTATTATTAACCAGTATGAGAAACATATACAGAATGACATCTCCCATCAAACATACAGAATTTCTGCTACAGATGGGCCATCAGCAACTTCCATTTGTTTCTGGAGGAAATGCAGGGTCCCATTACAAGGCCAAATTTTTCAACAGGAGGTAATGACAAATGGTACTTGAGAGTACACACTTTCGGTGTCGACAAAGAAAGCACAGATTACTTGTCACTTTTCCTAGTGTTGATCAGCTGTCCATAGCGTCACATTTGGGCCAAGTTCCAGCTCTGGATCTTGTGCTGAAGGAGAGAGAGTCCTAGGAAAGATGGCAACAAGAGTCTGTAACAGGGCTCTGTAAACTGGAGAGCAAGCTGCTAAGATGGACTTGTGGGCCAGCTACCACTAGGCAGCAGTCTGTGAAAAGAGATTTCTCCCACGGGACTCCTAGCTCATCTGCCATTGTGCATCTTGGAACCTGGATCTCTGGCATGATGGTCTGGTCAGAGATGTTGAAGGACCCTTGGACCATGTTCACCTTGTGGCTGAGATTGAGTCTGTAGTCAGGGAGAAGATAAGGCTCCTGGGACAAAAAGAAATCTCAAAGGATGAACTTCTTGAATCCCTATTCATAGCCCCATATTGTCTTGAAGACTCTTGTTGCCGTCTTTCCTAGGACTCTCTCTCCTTCAGCACAAGATCCATTTACAGGTCAGATTCACTCCAAATAAATCACCTTTTTCCTTCCCTTGTCCCGGGACCCTCTTCGGAGCACCTCCCCCACCTCACACTTCTCCCATTAAGTACTAAGACCTAAGAGAAAAAAACCTAACCTTGTCCTCTGTTCTGCTAACGTCTTGCCAGGTCTCAAAGAGATGCCAGAGCCCCATACTGTCAGAACTGTGATGAAACAACCATCTACCAGGACTTGGCAGCACCCCAGTCTTCACGGATCCCCCAAAGACTATCTGCGCCCCAATTCAGCAGGAAGCAGTTTCCAGAACTCAAGGTCCTTGTTCCCTAACCTGCCACGCCCAACCCCCACCTTTTTAATAACAATAAGAGGTGGGAATGTTAGGAACTAGCAGCCAGCTGACCCCTGCCCCGACGATGGGCGGGACGCTCATGGCCTTGTCATCGCTATGTCAGCTTTACCTGGAGGCCAGAGGACTCAGTTATGCATGCCCAAGCCTCTTTTAAAGCAAGCACACCAAGTGCTTCTCTCTGCCTCTCTGCTCTCTTTGCTCTCTGCCTCTCTCTGCTTCTTTGCTCTCTCTTTGCTCTCTCTCTGTTCCCTCTCTCTCTCCTGCTTTCGGTTGGCCACCAGCTACCCCCTCTCTCCCCTCTCTCAATAAACTCCACATGGGCGCTGAGTCTCGTGTTTGTGTTTCTTAGGCATTAGCTGTGCATCAAAAGAACAACACTTAATACCCCAACAAAAACTGAATAAAAAGCACAAGACTTCTTTATCAAAATACAAGGAAGAAACACACTTTCTTCTCTAATTCTCCAAACATTTGGTAACCTTGCCATAGACTAAATCTCTCTATATATGGCCATGAGGGTTAGGAGTAATCACACCTCAGACCAGGTCTCTTGTTATTTATATTAGACATCATTGCCTAAGACTAAACATCCTATAGTAGCCACACCTTAAATCTTATGGTCTTATGCATTTTGAAGAGTTAGGATAATTTTGAACTCTTAGACCTAAACCCAAGATGAACCAAAGCCATTTTATGCCCCCTCACAAAAAAACCCACACAATCATTTAG